AGGCCGCACAGTGAGGGACAAGCGGTCAGGACGTGGCCCGGCCTCCCCCAAGGCCCACAGTGAGGGACAAGCGGTCAGGACGCGGCCCGGCCTCCCCCAAAGCCGCACGGTGAGGGACAAGGGGTCAGGATGCAGCCCGGCCTCCCCCAAAGCCGCACGGTGAGGGACAAGGGGTCAGGATGCAGCCCGGCCTCCCCCAAAGCCGCACGGTGAGGGACAAGGGGTCAGGATGCAGCCCGGCCTCCCCCAAAGCCGCACGGTGAGGGACAAGGGGTCAGGATGCAGCCCGGCCTCCCCCAAAGCCGCACGGTGAGGGACAAGGGGTCAGGATGCAGCCCGGCCTCCCCCAAAGCCGCACGGTGAGGGACAAGGGGTCAGGATGCAGCCCGGCCTCCCCCAAAGCCGCACGGTGAGGGACAAGGGGTCAGGATGCAGCCCGGCCTCCCCCAAAGCCGCACGGTGAGGGACAAGCGGTCAGGACGCAGCCCAGCCTCCGCCAAAAGGCCGCACAGTGAGGGACAGTCAGGACGCAGCCCAGGACGCAGCCCGGCCTCCGCCAAGGCCGCACAGTGAGGGACAAGCGGTCAGGACGCGGCCCGGCCTCCGCCAAGGCCGCACAGTGAGGGACAAGCCGTCAGGACGCGTCCCGGCCTCCATGTCTGGGGGCCTGGGGGCTGACCAGGGGGAGGCCAGCCGGCCTGTGGGACTCGTGAGGGGCAGGCCGCATTGCTCTGCGGAATGCCCTGCACGGCCGCGCAGTCATCACAGGGGCCCTGCCCGACCGGCATGTTAGAGCAGTGACTCCGACCCCCCTGAACGCCTTCTCCTTCCCACCAGCAGCTCCCTCGGCTCTAGCAGGCGCAGAAGTGGCAGCCTGCACAGCAGCTCATTGGCCCAGAGCCCAGAGCACAGCGCGGCGGGTATAGGGGCAGAGGGGGTCTGCAGCCAGGGCAGGGTCTGGGCAGGGGGCACCCAGGTGGGACAGGGCTCCTGGGAAGGGAAGGAGCACAGGCGAGAACTGCCTCTGGGAGGCCTGAGGGAGGCCTGGCTCCAGGGGGAGGGAGGGCTGTGCTTCTGAGCTCTGGCCTCCAGGGCTCTGACCCCCTGAGTCTGGGCCACATGATTTAGAAGGAAAGGTCCTCACGTCTTGAAAGGCATCTCTCACTTGTTAATATTTTGCTGGAAGTTTAACTGCAGGACTGTCTCCATTCAAAACCAGAAGAGCAGGACTGAGGGGCATGGGGAGCCTGCGTGGACCCTACGCCAGCCAAACAGGCGAGGACCCACGGAGGTCCCACGGCTGCTGCGGCAGAAACCTCATTCCCAACTGCCTGGCGCATCCCCTGCTCAACGGGAGCCTGCGGGGTGAGGAACCGTAGGGGACGACCAGGAACGACCAGGAACCGTACGGGGGGGAGGGGCCGACATAACCAGGAAAAGGCTAACCAGCCAGAGCCAGTGCTGCTGACTCAGTCTGGGCCCCTCTGGGACCAGGTGTGGGACAGGTCTGGTGCTGGGTGGGAAGGGGAGCCCCAGGGGTCTGCGGTCGAGGAGGGGAGGAGGGGGGTTCACATACTTGGGGTGGAAGGGCAGAGAGGTGGGTTGATGGCTCCGCTGGGGGGAGCATGGGAGGCACCAGGCTGGCGGGCCTGT